AGGGAACCTGTTTTGGCAGGAGGGTTGGACTAGATGATCTCCTGAGGTCCCCTCCAACCCCCATTTTTGATTCTGTAAAATGAGAGCCAAGATGTTAATTAGTTAAGAGCAGATTTGTGCACACAAATAAAGGTTCAAAAGAATCAATGTGAACAGTGATTAAGCAGTCTGGTGCAGCCAGTACAATTTAACAAAAACAAAGAGGAAAAAACCCTACAATTGAAAACGATGCAGTGCTGTATGATTTTTGTTTAGTTCAATGGTCTTTTTCTGGGCAGGAGGGTAGAAGTTCTATCAATCAGCTATATCTGCAGTGGAGATTTTGGCAGGCAGAGGGTAGAGCAGGAAGAAGCTGGTTGTATTTTTCATAATGCAAGCTCTTTGGGAAGAAAAAGTTGTCATCAGAGGGATGTTGGGATGTCACACTAAGGCCTTGAACCTGATTGGGGCACTGAGTAGAAGAAATCTGTAAATATGCATATCTTGAAACACTATTAATTGTGAATATTTGTATGCATATAGAAATCCATAAATGTTGAATAATATGTTAAAATTAACTAGAAGCTTGTTTCCCTTACAAGTATATAACATAATTATATAACGTTTTTGTTTTTCTAATGAAATAAAGTAACTCAGCTGGCAAAAAGAAAGCAATAGGACAGTTCTAATTTAGAACAACTGGAGAGGGATCTCTGGACAGGAAGCAATAACTAATAAATAAAACAAGTAGAGGAAAGTGATTTAAATGAGAAAATTGATCAGTTTATTGTCTTATTGCTAAAACTGCAACTTAAAACTTTTCAGTAGTCACAGATCACGAGTGCTGGAGATTTAAATGTTCAGTTTATAGCATACGTAAGAATAGCATGTGCTCACATTTCTTTTTTTCTTCTCTTTAAAATTTCTGATTTAATGTTGGAGAGATCATCTCTAGAGCCAAGAGATTCTCTTACCCTTTATTTTTTAAATTTAAACTTGTTTCAATCTCCAAAACCTCTGGAATACTAATATGTATTAATAGCTCTGAAGGGATAAAAATTTTCTAGGAGATATTTCAAATCAGCTTCTTCATTTCATACTGTAATGTCTAACTTAAATACTTGATCTTCACAATATGTGATTGGCAAGTTCATTTTTCACTGAGCTTTCTACAAAAACGAAATTTAAAACAGTACATCAGAAATGTGATAGATATATCAAGGAAAAAGATGCATAGAATCATAAAATGGTTTAGTTGGAAGGGACCTTTAAAGGTCATCTAGTCCAACTCCCTTTAAGTAATTGGCTCATCAACTGCAAAGTCCTTTGAGTAAAGTGTCTGTCACAAAAAAGGAATGAAAAAAAGATTAAATAACAGTATTATAATTTCTCCACTACCTTTGGTTTTAATACATGTTCCTTACCCCTCCAACTGAGGCATAAGATATCATAGGTAAATTTTGACCATGCACTCATCTTCCTCTTCATTCTCTTAGGTCTGCAGTGTATGGCAGTACTGGAAAGGATCTAAAATGGCAAAGTGTGAGCTCCAGCCCTGATTGTGCTACCTTTGTGCAATATGTTACTTAAAAGTCTGTGAAGGGAACAAATGAATCTTATAGAATCTGTAACTGAAGATGTGTGTTTTCTGCCTCATAACTGAGGCTGCAGAGATTGGATAATGTGTTTATAACCTGGTGGAAGCCCTAGGAAATCCCTTACTGAATAGACAAACTACCTGTGCAGTATAACAAAGACTGTACCTGCCAGCTTTTTGGTTGATGGCTGGCAAGCTGAAGACTCTCACAGTGTGTTTGTATAGACATAGCATTTGAAACATGTACAGCTTCTGGAGCATGGTACTTTGGTCATGAGAATTTAAGATAAGCTGAAGTTTAAATTTGGAGTAACATACACTTAAATTGCACTCTCTCAAAATAATAGCAAGTAAACATTTACTGAAGTGAGAAATGTGGGTGTTTTGTTTTTGTTTTGCACATAAACATGAACCGTAGCTATAGCTTACTGGCATTTGGAGAATTGAGTGTTTATCTTTTCCTAGATTTAAATTTATTACAGAAATCTCAGCTTTAGAAATGTAAAACACAAAGGGAATTTCATAATCAGAAACAGCATCAAAATTTTTCAAAGCATGCTAGTAATAATAATGCTGTGAAACATTAGTGGGAATTTTCTATTTGAATTCTCAGGAGTACAGTACCTCTTTCAGATGGTGTTACAAGAATTGTTTTCTACTTGGGAAAACAAACCACCTCACACATACCACTTGGTCTTTTGTTAAAAAAAAAAAGGATTGGTAATAATTGGGACCTTTTATAGCTGTGAGCAAACATTGTGTTGTACGTTTGTGAGAGATACAAAGAAAATATAAAATGGTGTGAAGGAGTGAGGTACCTGTAAATGATGCATGCGGTGTTCTGACAGGTGCTGCAGTTGTTGAGGTCTTGACCAGTGTGATAGAAGTTGCGCCTGTAATAGACAGTAGTTCATGTAATGTGTATTTATAGAAACATTAACAGATCTCTGAATCTTTCATGAAGTAAAAGTAATTCTGTTCACTACTTCTGTTATCCTTACTAAAAATTAGAGTGTCTAAGTTAGAAAACTGCTTTAAAAACCCAAACCCTATGTTGATTTGTATTTTTCCTACCTCATGCTGGTTATGATTTTGATTGGTTATTGCATGAATACTTGTTATGAAAACACTTAGACATGGAACTGAACACACTTAAGGTGTATCTATGTATGTCCATGCTTTTGGTGAAGCAATCTGATCTCTACCCTTATGCCTTTTCATATTTCCTCACTTCAGTATAAACAAGTCAGATTTTTACTGCTGATAATATACAAGTTTGAGTGTTGAGAAAACAAGAAAAGTGACTTTCATACTTAACACCAACTACAGTTTAATTATTTTTATGATGGAGAGATCTGCATTATAACAGTTTGAGATTGGTGGCTCATTACATCTGAAAAATGCTTAAAACTTACATTTAATGAGTTTTATTTGGGGTAGGCGAGTTCAGTTGGTACCAAAATAATTTTCTGATTGCTTTCGGAATTTGAGGTTCTTCACATGTGTTGTGCTACCTCAACAAGTACTTGACATGTTCAGTTTTGCTGCTAGATAATTCTAGCAAGATGGATTGAAGCTTATCATTAAATCTCAGTGTGAAACTTAAAAGATATTTGGCAAAATTTTTGGTTTTGACTGTGTTTTAACTAAACAGAAACAGACTGTAAATATTGCTGAATAATCTGACTGTGCTTCACTGCAAGTTACCCTTTGTAGTGGTCACATTTGCAAACATAACTGAAACTTGTCCACTCTGTTGTACATAAGTACCTGCAGGGAAGGAGGCGTGCATATTTTTTTCAGTAATTTTCTAAAGAACCATAGTTGAGTGGAGGTTATATGAAATATACTATAGAGAAGTGATTGCTTAAGATATTTGGATTTTTCTCGCCGAGCCCTGCCTCGAATCTTGCTTTTGAACTGAACTTTTGGATTTTGGTGTTTTATATATGTTTTTGCAGTTTTGTTATCAGTATGTCTACGTGGATCTTGTCTGCTGTGTCTAGGCTATTACAAAGTTGGTGCTAGAAAATCATATGGGCTTTTTCGGATACAGAAAAATTACGAAGAACAACTCTCTGAGAGAGGATATTTGGGGCTGAATTATATGGGAAAAATGTTGCACAGAATAAAAATTTATGCAGGCACAGTGGAAACTAACAGAAGTATTTTCATGCTAAGAGCCAGATGGACATTACTGATTAATGTTTCCAGATAAAAAGGTAATCTGTACAAAGTAAAATTACATGCTAAATTGATTTATTTTCATTTTCAAAATTAGTATAAATTTGTATTTGGAGTGTGAGTTGGAGAATTATTTGTCAGAGATTCAAAAAGGTAATTTCAATTCCCAGATAAAATACTTTGAGAAAGAAAGAGTTCTTCAATATAAATTTATTTTTTCTTCAGAAGTTTTAAGAAAACTGATGCGTATAAAATTGTGGTTTCAGTTAGTTATATCCTGGCAGTTTTTGCACAGCCCTACAAACCTTTTTTGTCCACATGGGAACAAGTGCAAAATCCTGGTACTGACTCACCTGAGCAAGTCACTATCACGTTCTGTGCTATTTTTGTACAATTGAACCTACATAGAAATATCAATGCAACCTGCTTACTGTGATGTTTTGCAGTTTGTGGAAATGTGGAAGACTATCAGTTATTCCTTAATTGTAGTCAGTAAATACTATTGATACACGTGATCCAATTTTAAAACAAAGGATGCAATTTTACACACAAACCAGTTGTTCATAAATGATTATTCTAGATGCCTAAGCTAGGGGTGCTAAGTATAAAAGTAAATGTGTGATAACATAGACTTAATATTGTTTTATCTTTAAAAAATAAAATAAAACAGAACCTTTATTTTCCTGATACTTTGAAAGATTTATTTGTGGGGTTTTTGAAGAAAAAATTATTTAAGGGATATACTACATTATCATGAAACAGAACTTCCAAATGTACCCTAAGATGCATTTAGTAGGTGCTGCTGTTAAATGGTTTGGAAAGCATTATTAGGATATTCTAAAATCTGCTTTGAGCATAGAAATAGTTAAAATTGTATTTTAACCTTGTCCTACAAAAGTGTCCAATCTTAGACATTAGTTGCATTTATAGTATTACTGTTATTTCTAATGCATAAATAGGTTACATAAATAATAGGCTACATAAATAATGCTTGCAGCCTTGGCTAATAGTCACTATGAGAGCATACTAAAAATAAATACAGCACTTTTATGATAGTGCAGAAAGAAGTCATTCTAAAATCAGAGAGTCCGAAGTGAGTTCTTGCTAATGATCTTTACATGCTGTGTGTTCATAGCTTTAATCCCTTTTAAGCACCTTCTTCCCCCTCCTGTGAAGTCTTCCTGACATATTGAAGCTCTTGAGTCTTGATGTTTACCTGGCATTGTGCCTTTTCCTGTTCTTAAGGCATTCCCTTTAAGCAGCTGTGTTGTTTGTGGTATCATGAAGTGTAACTAGCAGTGTGGTCCCCAAATATCTGCAGGTGGTATGCTTTAGCCACTAATACTTCTGCTTGCTTAGGAAGGCCGTAGTAATTTTTTGAACAGGAGCAGCTTTTTACTGATATAAACCGTTTTGGCAATAGGCTGCCTTGGCACTAAATGGGCATCTGACCTTGCTAGTAAAAGATAGTTGGCTTGCCGTGAGTTTCGATTATATGGTAGTATGTTAGACTGTTGGGTTTTGTTCTGCTACATACAGATTTTAGCTAGGTGGTGACTGCCAACTCTAAGGTGTCAGTGGCTTTATATCTGACACTATAAATCTAAACTAAAAAAAGGGAGTTGTTAAACTGTCTCACACTGGGTTTAGTAAAGGCACTGTCAGCTAAAGCCAAACTTCTAAAGAGATTTGCTTCTCTGCTGAGACCCAAATACCAGAAAAAGGGCATAAGATACTGTTTTTGCAAACTCATCTTTAAATATTGCAGGAAAGATTTTTTTTTTTTTTCCTAAGAGCAAAGGTTAAAAGAATGCTAACATCTACTTTACATTTCTGATTAATTACTAATATTAAAATGCACCATACCCTTCACTGAGGGCTCTGGATTTTTCCAGGTCTTGGATTACATTCAAAAGGACTTTAATCTTCTCCTGGTTTGACTGCAAGGATTCTTCTACAGACTGTAGCCTGCCTTGTAGGGCACAGAGTTCACCATGTGCCAAATGAATTTGATTTATTTCACTAATCTCTTTGTTTTGTGGCTTTATTTCATTCCTTGGCAGATAAGACTTTATGTGAAATCCTTCTAAACAGCTGTTACACTGGGAAACATCTGACTGGGTAGAATTTTTCTTGATTTCAGTATTACATGACAGATCACATTTTGATATATTACTGCTGGTCAGTGACATTGTTGTGTGATCATCATTTGTTAATGTCACACAGCTGATATCTGTTTTCTGCTCTCCTGCCTGTTGATAGTCTCTGAGGAAACAAGGAGATGAACTGTGATTTGATGGAGGTGATAATGGAGTGGTTTTCTTACTGCTTGCATCTTTAGCTACAAGCATCTCAGAATCACTTTTATCTCCTTCACAAGAGTCAGAATGAGGTTTGTATTCACTGCAGTTAGAGTTGCTTAGGCAAGAGTATGCTTTTTCACAATTAGATGACAGCGTGCTGTTTTCATTTTTTTTATTGCTATTTATGACAGTAGAAGAATGCAGTGAACTGCTTAAATTCATGGTCGTGTCTGGTGTATCCATAAAAACATTGCTGTCTTGTGGAAAACTCACATGTATGTATTCAGGCACCTGTGTAGAAACAGTTGTCTTCTCTGATGCTGAGAAATCATCTGAGTGGATAGGTCCATTGCTTTGTGCTTTTGATTGACTTAAATGATGATCCATCTCACTATTCCTAAACCCATCTTCCAAATGGTTAGTTATTCTTAAATAACAGAGATCAGAAGACATAATGTCGTGTTCAGAAAGGTCGCCATTTACTTGGATAGAATTTGCAGGCTCAGTTGGCATTTCTGTTAGTGATTTGCTTACTGTCAGCTTTTTCTTTTTAAAAATGGGGAAGTGTTTCCTGAGGCGAGGAGATGTTTGTATGGCAATATTCCGAAGCCCCTTCTGAGCCCTTGGAAAAGTTGGAGATTGATGTAGCAAAAAATTGTTATCCCTAAATACTTCTGTTTTTCCAGTTGTAAATGCTATATCTTGTGCAGGATTAGTACCCAGGTCCATCTTTGTGTTCACACCATCATCCTTGAATCGAACTTGCTGAGATTTGGTTCTGCGGTGGTGTGGCCGTCTCATAAAATCGACTGAATCCAGACTGTTCCTTTTCAATAGCACTGGACGCATTTTCATGTTTTGCTGGGCCATTGAATCACAATTTAAAGTCTCTAAGTAGCGTGTTTCTTTGCGACCCATTTCATTTGTCATTTGAATTGTATATTAAGGTTGTTCCTAAGATGTAAATGAATACCTTACACCTGCAGAAGGTAAGCTTTTCATTCTTCTTGTTGTTATTATGTATACTTCTAACTGACATGCTCTCTTGCAAATTTAATTGCTGGTTAGACAAAATACTAAGATAAAGAAATTAAATGTCAAATTTAAGGAAAGATTTGTTGTAGCTAGGGAATGCATAAATTTTTGTGTTCTGAAGCTAACATGATCATACTACAAAATTGCAACAGGCCGTTAATGCTTACAGTTAACTAATTTAAAGGTAGGGTTGAATCTATGGCTTTCCTGATGGCTGTCATTTGACAGTCAGCTCTCCATTAGTCATCCAGCTTTTTTTACAACGCATCAGTCATATATTTTATGTGCATGTTGTCTAAACAAGTAGCATAATAACTTTTGGGGGCATTTTCATTTCTAAAGCATAGTTTTACAGATGGAAAATATCCATTGATACCAAACTTAATTGCTTTCTTTAGAGAGACCTTTTCTTTTTCAGACATCTTTTTAATGTTGCAAATGAAACTAATCTTCCCAAACAGTTAAGCAGAATGTAACCACTTCTGACCAGGCAAAAATACAACAGCCAGTGGCTTTTAGTGAGAGAAGTTATTGATGTGTAGTTGTTACTTCAGTTCATGCAAATACAAGGCAAATCGTATCCCAGGGACTGGTTCATTTGGGGAAGCTGTGTAAATACTTTGGCATCAGAAGAGTGGTCCAGACTGAATAATCAGCAAACGCAGAATAACAGGAAAAGCTTCCTGAAAGTAAAAAGACAACAGTTGTAGATGAACAAACTGCCAAACACTGTAATTCTCTTCTGCTGTCTCCTAACAACTTTTCACCTCCTGTGGTTTTTTTGACTTTGGCAGTGAGGTACTTGTATAGACACTAAAAAATGTTTTACAATTTTGAAGTGCCTAAGGTTTTATTCATATGAAATAGAAAACACCAAAAATGGATATAAAATATACAGAGTAGTAATTTTCTCTTTGTGATCAGTACTTACGTGCAGGCCTGAATCTGGCCCCAAATATAAATCTTAAAACTTAAGTCTTCAGATTTGAAAATGTCTGTTAAGTCTTGTTATGGATGAAATATATAAAAACCTGAACAATACGAATGTAAGTTCTTAATTTGAAGGCAAGTTGAGGTTTTAAAAACACAAAGTTGGTAGTTTTTTGTTGGGTTTTTTTTGTTTGTTTGTTTGGTTGGGTTTTTTAGACTTGCTCATTTCAAAGTGTTCAGATTTTAGTACAACTCTTGGTCAAGGAAAAATAGATTTATTTTAAAATGCAATTGATGCAAATAGAACCTTTTCTGGGGAGATGAAATATCTTTCCAGCACAGTATTAATTATTCGGGAATCAAGACTGAAATTGGCTGCACGTATGTGTAAAGTGTTCTACTCAGTTTGCATGCAGGAGACTGGCCTGTAAAGCTGTGATTTGTCACATTTGTCCTGAGCTCATAATGAAAAAACAAATATTAAACATTTTGAGTGACCACTAAAACTTATACTTCTGAAAAAAGGTTAGGACAATAATATAGTCGTAATGAGCATGTGTTAAATTAGGAAGACTGGAGGAAAGTAAGAGAACATATTTTCATATGGAGCCAGCTTTTATAAAAATTTTACTTGCAAGTATTTTAGTCTTTTTCAAGTGTAATGTAACCACTAATCTCTTTTTCTACCCCAAAAAATGGTTTTATATTTGTACCCCCCAAAAGTAATCTGTGTGTTAGACTTCCTCACAAATGTGAATTCTCCTACCCAAATCATACTGGAATCATCTGAGCCAGAATTTGGTACATGCAATGACTAGTGCTGGACTAGTAGCACATTTTAAGTCCCGAATTTTAAAACTCACTCAGGAGATTTACCTGTCTGTAAAATATCTTTCCTGTATTTTTAGCAAGTTATGTTAAATCTGAAACCAGCTGCTAGAACAGAATAGGAATAAAAGGAGAATTTTTTGCAAAATATTGGGAAATGTTCTATGGGATTCTTAATAATCCAACATAGTTTGCTTTTAAGATTACAGTGATTTTTTTAAGACTGAGGCTAAATTCCCAGCATAGTGTTAATTTACTATTGATCCTGTTCTCTATTAATTCACTGGTTGTTTCATTAGCCTTACTACTTCCAATATCTTAGTATACCTTTTATTTAAGCATTGCACAAACTCTACCATATTTAATTTAGAAGAATTGATGAGATGGGTGCAGTGGGAAAGATCCCAAACTGTTATGTAGCCTCATGTAACATTTAGGCAATGTAATATAATTTAAGCAAAGTAATGATGTGATATTATTCTATTACTAAGTTATAGCAGAAAATGAGTGTTGGATGATTTCACTGCAGAGGGAAATGTTGCATAAGGTATCAAGGAAACAAATATGTACATTAATACCAAATTTTACTTTCATGATATACTAGCATTAAGTTGCTTAAATCACTGTGCTGCTTGTTCACTGGACACAAGTATACACAATAAACAAGTCAACAGTTTCTGCAAATAAAGTTTCAGTGCCAAGTTCTGAATTCTCATATCATCCACTAATTACTGGAGGCTTTTTACAGTTTTGTTTGAGAATTTATCCAAATATTGCAGTAGCATTCTCCACTTCCCATCACAGCTGCTGTGCTCCAGGCAGATGGACTACTTTAAAAGTTATACTTGCCCAATTAAATTCAGAAAGAAGCTTTAGAAATCTAATCCTTTGTGTTTTAAACACAAGTAAAAAGCCCTTAAGGGTTTTAGGAGAGCTCTCTAGTTTGGCTATAGAGACATGTGAGCTAGATTCTTGCATTCTTAATTTGCAAATTGTTACTTTCTCTCTGTGTGATTTTTAGCTACCTTGGCATCCACTAGTCTGGGGTTCATATGAATTGTAATGAAAGTTTTGATGCTGTTATCTATATTAAATCAAGCTGAAATAAAAAAAAAATATCAATAGGAATGTTAAAATATTTGGATGGAAAACCCAAACTACTGAATTTCAATGAGGTATAGCTGTATGTTTAGATTATCAAATCGGTGTAACATTGCTAATTACTAAGTTTAAATAAATTTTCTCTTGTCCAGGATATAATTCCTCATTTTTTCTGGCACAGCAATTTGTAAGTTTTGTTTTGTTCATTTGTCACATTGACTGAAGTATGAAAGATTCTAAGGATCTGTTTTATAGAAATATATTAATTTAACTTGTGTCACTTCTAACAAAAAGTATTTGTCAGTTTGAAATTTGTCTTGTAATAATAACAGTTTTAGTAGGATAAATTTACTGGGATTTAATGTCTGCCAGGATTCCATGACCTTGCATCCTCCCTATCCCTTTCCTGGGCAGCTGCTCATCAGCCCTGAGGAAATGCCTTGTGCCTTGGTTGTTTTGCTTAACTAGCTCTGTGGACTTGCTCCAATCTCTTAATTCACTGGTAGTTAAACAAATGGCCTATCAGGTGTTAATGTTATTTTGAAATGGCTCCTCTTTTTAGTGGTTTACACGTGTGAATCTGACTGAGAGATATCATTGCATTTTTTTCTGGTTTTCCAGCCTCAAGACTGTGTTTTTGAGTCCTTAGAAATGCACACACAGTTTAGTTAGCCACCTAGGCAGAGGAAATTTGACCACAAGTTTTTTGACCTTTGTTTTTTTTATAATGATTCTTCGATCTTTCCTGCCTCTGCCTTCCGGTTTTCTTGAAGTGAGTCAAACACATTTTTTGTTTCATATGCCCGTTTAATGACTGAAGCTATGGGTACGGGAGTGCAGCTGGTAGGCGTAAGTGGAGATCATGGGAAATTGCATGAAGTGAAAGTGTGTAGTGAAGGGCAGTGGGGATTTTGGAAGAGTGCAGAGGTGTGATTGTGGTGGTTCTGGAGGTTTTCTGCATTTTGTGGAAAAAGTTAAATATTTTGCATGGTTTTCAAACCTATTCAGTTGCGGTTTGACACCTTAATTTTCCATTTCACTGGTTTGCTCAAAAAAAAAAAAAAGTAGTGTTTTTCCCTGTAGTTAAAGGGTGACACATATTTCTACTATTTTGCTCTTCTTTTATGCATGTGTTAGAGCCAGTATTTCTTAAAAAAACAAGTTTGGACTGACCTTCTTCAATAAATGAATAAAGTCACTAGGCTGAAAGCATTTTTGTGAGAGGTTTCAACAGGAAGATGATTAGTATAATTTACCTTGTACTTTTGAGCATCAGCACTTTAAAATTCCTGATTCACTCTAAATTTTTGCCACTTCCAGATGATCTGTCTACTAAAGATTAAACAGCAGATGAATTCAAGCATTATAGATACAATGATAGCTGATAGAGCTGTAATAACTGTAATATAATATATTCATACTGAGTAGTTTTGTCATGTCTGATTGATGTTTTATCCTGTATAACAGATTTTCTATGATGTGCAGCTAGATGGACATTTTCATTTTAGAGTGTCATGTTGATTTATTTAATTATGGTTTGTGTTTGAGAATAAACTGTTTCCTAGGTGGGAGAATCATGATCCTCAGTTTCTAAGAAATTGGTGTGACTGTTACTTTCCCCTCATGTAAATATCTCTGATGTTCCAAAACTATTGGCGGGACAAAAGGCTGCATGTGTTGCTGTTCTAAACTGTGTCCTTGTTAATGGCTGGAGGATAGACTAAACACTGCAGAGGACTCATTCCATATGCAGGTTCAACCCTGCCCTTCAAAGAGAAAAATCAGTGTCTGAAATGAAACTTTTTTGATTAACAAATATGAATTCAAGCTTTAAGTATATCGGTTTGGATGTCAGTTGTCTTCACATTCATTTTCAATCTCTGTCGGGAACTTTGAGCGATAGATGTTGGCCAAGCTGTTTAATTTAGTTGTATCTCTGCTTTTTATAAAACTCGTGTTGGCTTTTTTCCTCAAAATAAGGTGAGATTTCGAGGATAAGTTTAAATATGCTTCTGAAATCCCTGCAGAGTAAAGTG